GCACAGCTATAAGACAGTGAAAAGAGAGAATCTTAAAAGGGGAAGTTTTGGATGGCCTTAATGCTATGCACTGCAGCTTATGCTGTCTGTAATAGGTTATTTCCAGAGCATCTGAGTGTCTTCCAGTAGTGCATTAAGCAATGTAACTAACATCTGTCACAAGGTTCATTTTCCCTCTCATCTCCTCCCTAGAGGGAAATTCTCTAATTTCTTAACCTTTCCTGGACCCCCACTCAATAACGTTCATTACCTCGAAAGAAAAAGGAAAAACCTATCAAAAAAAAAAAAAAAAGAAAAGAGAGATATAGATCCAAGATTCAGGATGCTTTGGTGACATTTTTGAAGTCTTTTTTGCCAAGAAAAACAGTAATTTCTTTCAAATTTCTTTACATGATATTTACATGCTGAAAAGACAAATTAAAATTATTGAGCTGTTTCTCCTTCACCCATGATTATGCAGCAATTTATCAACAAAATGGAACAAGAATATCTGACTGGGATTATTTATTATACAGTAAGGCCTTACTTTTTGTTCATTTCACCAGGAACAGTATCCCTGTTCTGGCTAGTTAGCCATCTGTGTCCTGAGAGCTTTCGGGAAGGATTAAACTGTCAGTTGTTTTATTCCCTATCATGAAATAACTATCCTAACAGGGCTGAGGCAAGGCTTGGATGTTGCTGGACTTGCTACTTTAAGGTGGCATGAAAAAGAGTAACTGGATCTTCCCTAGAGCTCAAGCAAAGCAATGAGAAGTTTGGGGGTTTGGGTCTCTCCTTTTCACTCCTTGCACTCAGTAACGTGCAGTATTGCTACCCAAGTTCTCCTGCTGGAAACTGCACAGGTCAGGCAACCTCTACACCCTGCTGAGGCAGAAGAGGAGCTATCTGTGGGTTGTTTTGTGTTTAACCCGACTCGTTCACTACCCGTGGGCAGTGTGGCTGGGGTGTGGGCACAGAGAATCAGGCTCATGGGGCTGGAGGCCGGCCCGACGGAGCGGGGCGGGCAGAGGGGAGGGGTCACCGCCCCCTTCTCGAGAGGACGCCCGCGGCGCGGGGCACCCTTTCCCATCTAGATACCCGAGTGGGCCTGAAAACTTCCATCGCCTCTTTCCTGGAAAGAATGAGAAAAATAAGCCACCCAATTCAGAGGAAGGTAATCTGTGCCCTCACTAAGAGCAAACATGTGGGAAAACTATCTGCTAGAGGAATGTACCTTGCGGCTATTGCCAAAGGTTTTGCTGGGTGTATCTGTGCTCTGGATAGCAGCTTTACAGCTGCACAGTGGAAACTGCTCCCAGTGAATAACATCTACACTTCCCTAACACCTTTCTTCCAAAAATCAAATGCACTTTTCAAAGAAAGAGCCAGATTTTTTTGACGCTAGCACCTCCTCATGTCACACTTCTACGGACCCATTTTTTTGAAACAAATTGGTAGCCAAAGCTCTCTGGTGCTTGCTAGGCTTGAAGTGACAACTGAGCTCTCTTAAAAACTGACCCACACAGCACTTCACCACTGAAGTGCAACTGCCCCTCGGGTGGAGTGGCTGGCACCAGTGCCGTGCTGAACCTCGAGAGGGACAACGTAGCCATGAGGGTGACCCCTGCTCTTACTACAGGTGCCAAACTTTTACAAGGATCACATAATGGCTTTTCTCAAGGTCTTGGCTTCATGGACTGTAATACTGCAGTGAATGCCACGTATCACCTTTGATAAAGAGCTGATCTGTCTGGAATGAGAGGGAGTCAAAGAATCAGGTATTGCTTATGAGCCATCAACTACAGCTCTGCATCCATTCCTCCCTAAAATCTCCTGCATTGACCAGTTCACAGCAAGAAACACTTCAGCTTTTCTGCCCATTGTTGTTAATGTGCTGTTGAGTGCAGTCCTGTAGTCCCTGTGTGTTGCCTGGCCTGGCCTGCAGGACATCTCCAGTTGGATGCCAGGGAAGAAGCTCCTACAGCAAGTTAGGGATGGACAGAGCTCTGAAAGGCTTAAAGCCCTCAGCTCTGCACCACACTGCCTGTTGAGGGTGAGAAGGGGATGGGCTCTCCTCCAGGCAGCAGGGAGGCTTCAGCTCCCTGCCCCATTCACATTACATCTGCAAGTCAGCTGCTTCCCATCAACGTGGCTCCTGCTGGGAGGGCAACTGAGGGACTCATTCAGACCACTGCTGCATTGGTGGGACTGTGAGCAATGAAACATCAACTCCTCACATCTATCTGTCCCTGGGAATCCACGAAAGCCCATCCTGCTGTTGCACACCCAACCACAGTCACACAGCCCCCTCCAGTTCAGTTGTTGCTGCATGGGTTTCACCAGTGGCCCAGTCTGACAACACAGGGCCTCCAGCACAAGCTTCCTGAGGCCACTCAGCTTTCCAATTTCTGTTATGTTCGTGTCATACTTGAAATAACATGGTCACAAGCTGTGGGGTTGCAACTCCACAGAGCTGTGATCAGTTTCCTGTACCTATAGGAGCATCTAATTCTCCTGATCAGTTCCCAGGCAAACAAAAGCCAAGGAACAGCAAGGACAGCAAGAGGAGAAAGTATTTTCTTAGCAGGAATACAACTATAACATAGGTAGACTGTCTCTGTTTACCTCCCCAAATTAAAATCATCTTTTTCTTATGCTCTTACCTAAGAATGACATAATGTGACCCACTCTGCTTCTGACTGCATTCACTGGCCAGAAAGAGGCACGTCTCTGCAGAAGACCTGTGGATTCAGGGCTATGGGACAGCTCCACAGATTCTATGGATGCATAGTGGCTCTTAGAGCTCTGCCAGCACCATGTTTCTGGCCTGCAAAGCGTGCATGGTAGTGGTCAGAGGACAGAGTGCAAGACCAGCCTAATTCACTCTCAAGCAAATTGGCTTTTTTATTCCCCCCCTCTCAAACGTCCCCCCCACCTTCCCATTCTTTGCCTTCTCTAGCTTCCCGCTACCATACTGTCAGCAGGGAACCCAGACACAAACGCTGCACTCACATTTGGAGTTACAGTAGGCACTGAAATTCTTAGTTATAAAGAAAAAAACATGTGGCTATCTGCTTTGGACTGAAAACACCTTTTTTTTATGGAGGATTGGGTTTTCCAAGTGGTTAGAAGCAAGATCTGGGAATCTGAAGTAGTTAGAAGGATTTTCTTTTTAATTGCTACTTTGCAGACTTCTCCAACTCTGAGAAAAGCTTTGAGCTTTCTCTGTCCACAAAACTCTAAACCAGGCAAAATGGTTTAATTTTTATTAGGGCAATAAGACAATTCCTAGTGTTCTTGCTATGACATTTTCTCAGGGGAAGCTAAGAGAAGATGAAGTCACTTTCTGAGAAGCAGCTGGCTTAACACGGGCAGGGACAAGCCAGAATTTGATTTCTTTGGCTGACTTGTGCAGCAGTGAGTCCCCCAGTCTGCTTTTCTCCCATCCCACTGTGCTACTGGGGATCTGCTAAGACACACCTGTGGGAGGTTTGGGCTTTTAAATCTGTGCCTTAAATGTTCAAATAGGTCCATAACTTGCAAAAAGTTTATTCTTATCAGGTCCTTAACCTCAGTTTTCTTGGGAAAAATCACTGCCAAGTATCTCCCGACAGAACATGTCTAGGAACTAAAGAGGTTTCCTTGAAAACTGAGTGTTCTCCAAAAGATCGAGATTTTTAGATTTAAAATTCTCATGTTTAGGCTGAAATTACAAGCTAATAACAACAATCATGTTATTAAGTCTGGATGAAAGGTTCGGATCATGGGAAAACTACATTCCAACACAGTTCAAAACCATCTCAAAGGTTTGTGCCCTTCCATCTCACACTCCACCTCTTCTCCCTCCTCTTGTGCTTCTGCAGAAGCACAGGAAAGAAAGAACTGAAAAAAGCAAGGGCAAAACAATAATTTCCTCTCCAAAATGCAAGCAAAACAGTAACATTTCAATTCTAACAAGAAACTCATTTTCTGCACAAAATGCAATTTGTTCCTTTCATCAGGCTCTGGCTGTGGTAGGCCGAGAGTAAAGGTGTTAACACATGAAGGCAAAGATGAGTTACATTTTAGAAATTTCCATGATCTTTATGGATTGTGTTGATGAGAAACGCATTTGCGCACTCTGCACTGTCAGTAACATTTTTGTTATGGGATATACTTTGAATAATTGCTTTGCAAAATGCATGGCCATATATTCATTAGAAATTGAAAGTTGTTCTGGAAGGCCCAAGCTTCTAAATGAATGGTATTTCAATAATTTCAACATACTGATTCTCCAATTCATCATCCTCTAAGCTAAGATATATCATTACTCTCTAATTTCAATTCCCAGCCATGCCATCCTCTTAATCTTAATTATAAATGGTCTGCCACTTATCGAATCATTCTGTGTGCTGCACAATCCTCACCCTTAATTGCACAAATATTTTATTTTTGGAACAACACAGCTCAGCAACAAGCTTCATTTTTCTTTTCATGACTCAGTCTCTATTAAAGTAAAGCTTTTATAAAAGCTCTGGGCGCATGGAGAGAAAATTAGTTGCTCCTCCGTGGCTAACAGTTTTTAGCTAATCACAATGCAGCCCTACATCACTCCGAGCAGAGCAGTGATTAAAACTGTGCCTGCAACAAAGCAACATTGTACACAGCGATGACGTGCTCCAGTCAGAAACGTCTCCCCTCTTGTTATGATTGGTATTCCCCAGATGTTTGACTTAGAGCTCTCGCTTGGCAGGCGAGGCTTTGTGGCTGCAATTCAAGTCCCAAGCTTGAGCAGTTCCAGTGTTTATTCTCATAATTTACACTTTGTGATGGCTTATGGACAGTTATGTACTTCGTTTCACAGCCACCACTTCAAACCAAGGGCCCAATCCTGCCTTTATGGAATTAGTGTTAAAGGCTTCTCAATTCCAGCACTGGCAGGAGGCCCCAAATGACTGAACCGTCTCTCAAAGCAAATAAGCCAATAAAAAAAGAACAATTTGTTTTAGAAACAGTAAAAAAATGCCTGAAATCTTACTTACTAGGAAGTCTTCTTCACAGTACACCTTGCCATTGACATTGTAGAAGGCTTTTCCTCGTAGTCTTCTCCCTGTTAAAAGAGGGTCCCGTCAGCATTTTGTGCTGCGTCCCCAGGCGCAGCCGCTCGGGGTGTGAGGGAAAAGCAGCCCCTGCTCTGCCTGTCTGCACAGCCAGAGACACAGCTGAGGCTTGGGCTCTTGGCTCCACCCTGCCTTAAAAAATTCCTTATCAACTCAATGATCCATCCAAGGGCAGGTTATGGAACCCAGCTGATACCGCTTCCTGCAAACTTTGAAATCTAAACGAAGAAATTATTATTTGGGGGGGAGAGGCTCATTGGTAAACTACAACCGTTTTCTTAGGAGGTGAACTCACAGCAGGTATGCACCTGCAGCAATTCACATCAGTAATGTGTTTCTCTCCGAAGGACCAAATGAGGGATGCTGCAGATGGAAGTTCCTGCCACCTTTGAAACCACTAATAGATTAACCAATGCCACAGCAGCTACACCCATAGCTCCCTGTGATACTAAAGCAATACCAGGAACATGCAACAGAGGGAAGGGCAGAAAAATCACAGAGAAAACAAGAAATTTCATTTAAAGTTTGAACATTTGTCATTTCACTAGTGCTTGCAGAACTCTGTGGACAAAGCCTGTGATCATCGTTAGCTGTCGGCTCCCTTTATAGCTAAGAAATGCACAACAGCCTCCAAAGAGGCCTAACGAAAAGGATTAAACCCAGGAATTCAAAAACCACTGAGATCAACCAGTTTTTAGATACAGCAGACCAGATCTGTCCTACACCAGAACTGCTTCACTGAAAGCAACAGCATTTGAGCAGCATAAAACCAGAGAGGGAGAAGGGAAACGTCACTCATCCTGACTCACCTTATTTCCACTCTGTGCCAGGGTCCCAGTGGCCAAAGCTCCCAAACAGCTGGGGGCTCTCACAAGCCATTTGCAGCCTTGGCAAGCAGATGGCATGGTGCCTACCAGGGGCTGCGTACCACCTGCTGTTGGCAGTCCAAGGAAGAGGGCAAGAGGCTCGTCGTCAACAGATGACCTCTCCCAGGTGACTGCCGAAGCCTCTACTCCACAGGCTAAGGCTGGACATCTGCTGAGGAGAGCAGCTCCACCATAAACACCGCCCATCTTCGCGAGGGTGTGGCGCTGAGGGGCAGCGGGCAGAGCCAGCTGGCCAAGCACAGAGGGGCAGGAGCGCTCTCCACGCTTTCCATAAACAATGCTGAGGAAAATATGATTAATTTTCAGTGCTTGAAAGTGCCTTTTACACGTTGCCACTGTGATCTGATCCTGGGAAACAGTGTGTGGCACAAAGAAGTTGGGATCTGGGCTGATGCTTTTGGGAAATCACATGCTGCTGCATGTGGTTGTCTGGCGGTTTTACTGTCGTGGCCGAGGGAAATGCTTCTTTTGTGTGCACATTCTTGGGCTGTTGATCTCATGGGCTGCTGTCTCCATACTGCTGGTAGGTGGAGTCAGCTCTTGTTTGTCTTTCCAGCTGCCTGGTAGCTCTGGTGAGGACCAGGAGCCTGGTGGCATGGCCAATGCACACAAACTGTTCCATCTCCTCTGAGACTCTTAGGTAAAACCGGTCCACCCTACATGTCACACAAACAATATGTGAGGCTGGGACAACCATCAGTGGGTTGTGGGACTCTCCTGACTGATGCAGGAGCAACTACCTCTAGATCATCCCTCCTGCTTATCCAAGCTGGTTTTAAAGCTCTCTGGTGAAAGGTAAAGGAAAGGTAAATGGAAGGAAGGGGAGAAAACGAAAGAAGTCAGAGTGGCTTTTTAAAGAACACGCTGGTTCTGCCACACCCAGCCTTGATACACAATTTGTCTTTAGATGGTAGAAGTGGCTGCACCAAGAACAGGGATTTGCCCTGAACAGGGAAGTGCTGCATCAGCACGTCCACGTTGCTCACACACACCACCAGTGCAGAGCTGGAGAGATTGGTACAGGTGGAGAAGTGCTGGCCATCACCTTCATCACACACCCATTGTGGCTGAAAGGAGTTGAAGTGCTGGGGTTAAACTCCCAGCCCTGATTGAGAGTTGGCTTATGGATGATGCAAACCACCAGGACCCTCCTGACTGGTTTTCACCCAGGGTCTGGCCAGCCTTGGGTGGGAAACGATTAGGAGATCACCACCACGTGCCCCTGCCGTCCACATTAACTTGGAGGTGGGGCAAGAAGCCACATCTGTAAGAACTGACTCCACTGGTGGTGTACTGGGGTGACTTGCTTACACAGTGTATGCAGGGTTGTGGCTTTTGGAAGGGCTCCCCAACTCTTCATAGCAAGTGGGGCTCCCAGGATGGTGGGGCAAGATGATTGGACTGATCACCTGGGTCCTTCCATCTACCATGGCATGGTTTTGGAGTCAGCTCGATCCCTTCTGCACATCCTAGGCTGTGAGTGAGTGTATGGACTTACTCCTCCCTCCAGTGGTCCAGCATGTTGGATTGTTGGTCTATGATTTAAGAGTGGAGGGAGGACTTTGGCTGCTGGTTTGCCTGTTGATGATAATATCCTTCTTAGTCAGGCAAGTGGTCGGCAGAAGAGGAGTAGAGATAATTAGGGACAAATCCTGAACTGTTTCTGGAAGGATCTCTGCAGGAAAGGAATGCCCTAAATCAAAGTGTCAGTGTCTCCAGAGGCACTGCAGAAGGTGCATAAGGACCTGTACATCCTGCTTTGTATCTCAGTCTGCAGAGACTGGCAGTGCTCAGGTTGATAGAAGCTCCTCAAATTCACCTCTTTTTGTCTCCTTAGCATGGAAGCCAATGCAGTCAGAGCTTTCCTGGACTGGGAAGAAATGGGAAGCCTACGACCTAAAGCAAACAAGACAAAACTGATGCTTTGGACTGGCTCTCAAAGACACTTAGGTTATCAGAGGTGTTTGGCAGCTGATTTTCCTATGACATGAAACACCCTCACCTCACCCCAGCGCAGCAGAGCTGCCAGGCTCCATCTCAGCCACCGTGCAGCTTGTGAGGCCCTGCTGCCCACTGCCAGCCTGCCCAGCCCAGCCGGCCGGCCGCCCTTCCACACGCCTGCGGGGGCAAAGAGCTCTGCTCTGCACCGTGCCTGCAGAACAGCACCTTTCAGAGTGCAGGACAAACACCGTTCTGCCCATTTTACAGCTGAAAAAAACCAAGCCACCTATTAGGGAGCTAACTTGCCTAAACTCATAAAGCAGGCAAGCAGCTTGCTCACACGATAATTACTACTATTAGCAATAATTAATAAGATTGACAGGCCTTTTACCTTAGAACCTTTTACCTTAGATCATTCGGGGATCGTATGATAGTTATCTCATAAACAAGAAACAGCAAGTTATCACCAAATAGCCATGGCTGCACTGCACAGGCTTCTACACACTGCATTTTAGAAATAAAGGCACAGTATGTTCCATTTGCCTGCCAGAAGCATTTGCTAGATGACAGCACTGAACATGGTCATACCCCAGACTCTGTGAGTGCCTGGGCATCATGTGAAAACTGCAGCCAGGAGGAAGGTGCTGGCAGCTGCAGCCTGGGAGACACAGAGCCCAGGGAGATAAAGCATCGGTGCCTCCCAGCCCCAGGGCAGCCATGCAGCAGGGTGGGAGCGATGCCTTGAGGTTGGGGTACCTGCTTCCAGAGTAAGGTACTGGACAAGATGGTTGCACCTCTCAAGGTCCTGGAGTAACTCGAGGGTCTGCACAGCACCAGCCTGTTCTCATGTAGCCACAACATATTATTGTCAGTCAGAGTACAAAAAGGTAAAACCCTAGCATTGCTTTAGCCAGCTGAGCCAAGTGCCTGGCCAGCTAGACAAGGTAATATCATCCTGCCCACTGGTACACAGAACCTGCTGCTTGGCTTTCCTCTGAACGACTGAGTATAGCCAAGCCTCTGTTTGCTTTCATACTATTGAAACAAAAAAAGTCGAGAGTTTCTGACAAAACTTGATGTAACTTGCTGGTGGCTCATTATAATAATAACGAGCGGTTATAACGAGCAGCGTAGCACAGGGTTCACAAGTACAGGGTTTCACAAACACGCTCCTGCCTTCCTCCTGCTGGATACCCACCTTGGCGCGCCCGCCCTGTCAGACCAGTTTTGAGCAGCAGTGAGGAAGAGGCTCCCTTTCAGCCCCCCCGCGGAGCAGCGGCTGGCGAGGAACGCGCAGGGGGACGGCGTGGGGCAGAAGCCGCCCGGCCCGCAGCCCGCGTGCAGGCACCTCACACCAGCTTTTGCTGGGAAGCCCTTTCTTCCCTCACTGCTCTTCAGCCTTGTTTTACTGTGGAAAAATAAAAAGAACTTACGCACTCACGGTGACAACAAACCCTTGTTGCAGCTCTTATATTTCTGGACTGACACACACATATTTGAGGGGTAGCAAGTGCCAGGATAAGGGGGTCCATCACTTCGGGTAGGAGGCAGATGCAAACACCCCAGCAAAGAGTGAAAAGATTTGTGTAGGTAAATCTGGTAGTTAATAAAATGCAAGCTAGAAATTACTCTGTCCCACAGAATGATTGCAACTGGTGTTTGCAACAAGCAAGACAAACATCCAAAAGAATGCAGGCTTTTGGAAGTTTTAAAAAAAATTATAAAATCAGAATGAGCTCTAGGTTTTTAACATCAGTTTTCACATTTTAACCAGTCAATGAATCTCTGGTATTTTAATGTGTCTAGCAATTACTTCCTGCATAATTTTTATCTCCTATGTTTTGCAAACTAAAAGGAAGGAACAGGAGAGCTGTTGATTTAGCAAAGGACTCAAAGATTCAGCTTAGAAAAGGAAAAATGACCCACAGTTGACACAGGCTGTCCACAACTCTTCTCTCTAGTCTGCACAACACTTCACTGGGTGGTGAAAACACACCAGCCAGGACACCAAGACGGAGTAAAACTTTTTTGAATACGGTTTCAAAAGCTGCTCCAGGCCCTCATGGAACAAAATGTGAATCAGACGGGGTTTTACCGTCTTGAGGAGGTCCTCAGAAAGAGCACTGAGAATGTCCTGCCCCCTCCCCACTAGCCCAAACAGCATCTTCAAAGCCCTCCCTGCTGCTGCTGGCAGCAGGGTATTTGCCTATAGGGAGGTGAGTTTATCAAGTCACAGCCTTCCGTGGTGGAGCTCCAGTCTCACATGGGATGATGCAACCGCATCGGGGGCTAACACCCCCCCTCGCCTTTGTCAGACAAGAGATAGCAATGTCTCACTGTCACAGCATGGTTATTAGACCTAATTACTGTTTGCAGCGTGCTTTGAAGTTGAAAAGTGCCAAGCATTATTATAATATTTTAAGTACTTTGATGATTAAAAACACGCAACCGTTGGGTAATAATCATGATTTACTAGTACTGTAGTGTAAGCAAGTTCATGTGAGAAGCCTGCACTGTCTCAGTGCCTGACGCTAGTTAGAAACAAACAGCTCCCCTCTGACATAATGGGAATGCTGCAGCCCCAGCCTCACCTCCCAGATAACGCCTGGTGTGTCCCTGCGACTACCGTGCTAAAACCCATACACCAGCGCACCTCCTCGCCAGCACGGGCTCTCTCATGGTAGTCTCTGGTATATGTGCCTCTTCTCATAGCTTCATGCAGGGAAGTTCCAGCAGTTCTAAGGCTGAATGGGACACTCGGCAAGAATCTCTGTGCTGTGGGAGGTTTGGTCCACGACTCGCACAGCTTTCTGAGCATGGCAGCCCCTGACTCTTCATGTCTGGCTGACTGGGGAACTGGTCATAGCGGGTTTAGTTAGCAATGTTGAACATGGACCTAATTGCTTAACTGCTTCAGATGCCACTTCTGCAGTGACTGATGTGACACCAGCATCATTACCGCTCTCAAGTTAGCACCTTAAGCAATGGTCTCTTAAAGCATTCAGACTAAACTGCCATGTAAACACACAGGCAGGATTAATACCCAACGCCATCTGCTCAAGTATTTCTCAGCTACCATAACAGAGAAGAGAAATTCCCATGTATTTCCCCAAAGCCCTGTACAGGTGACATCAGAAAGTGGCTTGGGCCAAGTAGACGTATCTGCATGCCCACCTGTGGGCACGGCCTCCACCACTGTTCGATGGAAACATCAACTTTAGCAGGTCAAACCCGGTAATTTTGTT